AGCTTCACCTTTCTTGCCGTGATCATCAATCATTTCAACACCGTCAACATTACCTTGGGCGCTTTGGCCGTGATCCAACTCTTGCGAGCCTTCTTCGAATACATTTGTGATAGTGCCTCTAGCGGGTGCCCAAGTCACCCAACCATCTGCTGGAATTTCATATGAATGTACATTTACTATACCGCCTCTCTTCGAACCTAATACATCGACCACTCCAAGTACTTCGGCCAGTTTAGGCATCTCATTGCCGTCAAGTGTAGAATGATACATACCCTATAAACTACATATGGCGCCGCATGTTTACACTCGCTTCCTACGCTATGCACCCTATATCAGCTAAACATTAGGTAATTAGTTATTGGGGCAACATTGTGTTTGTCGGGAGTTGGTAGGTCAGTTTCAAGCTTTCTAAAGAGTTCCTAGCTTTATGTGATGGCCTTTCAAAATTTTCCTTATTTACTTGCTTGGTAGCCAGGCGGAGCTAGCATTGAGTCAGCATTGAAAACTACTTTTATATAGCTCGGTGGAAATCTAATAGGCTAGGCACAATGGACACTAAACTCAGTATGCTGTAGGACGATGAGCGCTCACAACCAACAAACATGTGAATACAAGGTAACAATATGATCGAGACAAGACTTGTACATAGTATGGACTAGAGTACGCTCGAGGACAGATTAACACAGCTCGTCAACAAACAACTTCGTATGGTTCGCTCCATCCTAAGTAACTCTGAGTTTTGTAAAGCTATACGAGCTATCTTCATTGAGTTTATAGCTTGTCGTAAACTTAGGTTCTAGGCCGAGACAGTGGCGCAAGTGGCTGAGCCAGCCACTTCTTAAACGACTCGTGTAACTCAGTAACCTACACAAGAGACGACTCTTCGTCTTGCAGATAGTTTCTAAGACAAACACTTTTCTTCCTCTAAAAGTGCAGATCGAGTTTTCAACCACATAGCTGATTATCGTGTACTCTGACTATTGAGATTTTCAGCAATCTAACAAGACCTACGGTTACTCTTTGGTGATATTGAAGTCGGCTACGTGTTAGCAGAAAGCACCACTATTAGATATCTTCCCCTGATAAGAATGCCATTATTTTCATGCAACAATCCTATGGTCAGTCACATAAACCACAAGTTTGTATAAGGCCCTGCTGTCTAATCTGGTCTAAACCTTTAGCGACGTTCTTTCTCGTCAACTAGTGTGGGCCAGTTTCTAGCTACGAGCTGCGCAGTTCAGGACAAGGCCTTCTTTCTTCATCCAGTTGAAAGCTGTTTGATGTCCCTAAAAGTCACTGCGTCTTATGCATTCAGGAAAAAGAAGAGCCAGGATGAGACAGTGTCGTTGTCCGGAGATAAATTGAGCTGCAGGAGTTGTGGAGCGACTAGTGCCCCCCTCCCGCCGGCTTCATGTTTGAGGTCAACTGTCGGAGACACGTTACGCGTCCGTACAATAATACAGTGTGAGGATTCGTTGATCAATTAAAGTTTATACGACGCTGGCTTGGCTCCTTTGCGCCCACGTCAGTTACTCTAAAGCAATAAATATTTCCAATTTCCCGGAAAGTTAAGCCCAGTGAATTTTAATGAAGACATACATATAAGCAAATGATTGGCGTGAAGAACAAGCAGAAAATCATCTCGATCAAGACAGAGGCAATTGTTGTGTCCCAGCCGGCTAATATGTGCTCGGCGCTGTTGGAAACTATCAAGTGAGCCGTGGATCCATAGTGCTTGCACTGAGAAAGTGCCCGACAGTTTTTCTCCACTTGCCGCGTTCCCGACCGGAAGTAGATGCCGATCCGCGCTCTATGAGATTGCAGGCCCGAATTTAACAGGGTCTCCAACTTGACAGGTTGATGAGGTTATTTGACTGAAACTATAGACGTGACCGCATGGGGATGAAGCGTTGATACCGGCCTTTGAGCATGGGTTTTGTTGTTATCCTTACTCATGAACCTCGACAAGAGACTGCACCGTTGATACACTTGAGTAGCTTAGCCTGTCCGCGGATCAGTAAGAGGTATACCTGAATGTCGATCAGTACCACTCCGTTACCAGTTCAATGACTCAGGGTGTATTCTGCATCACTACGTGAGTTGCTATATATATGTGCGCCTTCCCTCAATTCGAAGGCAGCTCTCCACAGCTCACTTTTGTACATAAGTTCAAATCACAGTTGAAAACTCACATCCAAAAGTATGTGTTCTGCAACACTGCACACTTTATAGCATAGCTAACTTCTTATTAATAGCAACCTCAACCAGGACAAAATGCATTTCAGCAAAATCGTTTCTACTCTTTTCTTCACCACGGCCGTTACAGCTGGCACAGTGTTTACCAGAGATACCGACATGGCTACAATCAATCGTTTAGTGAACAGGTTCGTCTGTGGAAGCGATAACAACTGCAACGGCTGCTGTATGGAGGGTGCATGCTGTTCAGCCGGACATATTGAATGTGGCTGCCCCTAGTGGGGTGGTACATGATTCTTTTGGCACGTATCTGGCTGGTCTGTTACAGGTTGTCGAACATAGTTTTGCGGAGAGTGGCAGCATTCAATCCAACGGTTCATTACATGTAACCTGATGTTCTGATGAGTTACACGAACTTAGCCTGAAGTTCCAAGTCGTGAAGAAGAACCGACAGTTCTACGAAGTGTCATGAAGACCCAAATCACAATTGGCGCATATTCCGTCATAGTGCTGTGGCTGAAGTGATATACAATGATAATAAGTCCTCACGTCATGATCCAGAGTCAGAGAAGGAGATACTGCTATGTGAGGTTAGCTCATATAACTCCATGATTGATGGACACCTAGAAGTTACAGTTGGGTTCAATGTTGGTTTAGTGTACGACAGTATGAATGTTGCATGCTATAACCTCAGAGTTGCTATCGACCTCTCAGTCGTTACGCCGACTTTTCGATTGGTGTACTAGTTGTCTGTTCTTATCCTTGCGTAGCAATACTTTGTTTCTGTGATTCCGAGGAGTTGTCTGCATAACCTGGAGTCTTTATTACGACCCTTTGGTTGTAATTTAACATAAATGCCCCACATCAAAGGCCTGGTTGCTAGGCCATACAAGTACGCAAGCCGCAGGGATAGACAGGCCTCTGCGGAACGAAAGGTGTAGGGAAGGTTGAAACCCTGGCTGTTCTCTTCGGAAAGTATTGCAACTGAGAATCGGGCTTCTTTGCGACGAGATCACCTACGCTGTGTATATTCAACGCCAACCCTCAGAGTCGTGTACTTGACATGAGCGTTTGGTTGGCAGTTTTCGCTTGTTGGTGCAACTGAGGATATAAATCAATATACTTGAACGGAAGAAGTTATAGTGCACAGAATATTATCAATGGAGGAGTGAATCCACACCCAAGAAGGGTGATCTCGGTCTATCTTGTCAGAGACCTATCAGGGGTGCGCCGGTGGGTCCCGTTAGTCATCCTGTTAGTCAGCCAGACAAGGGATAAAACCCCCTTTCTAGGCTGATTCTGGGCAGGCCAGAATTGAATGATGTTACAACACCACCCCTACCTATCGTTAAGTGACCCTATCGTTAACTTCCTCACTCTGATGCCAGCGCCTCTGACATATCTCTTAATGTAGCAGAAATTTCTTCCGAGTTCCTTTTTCGGGTTTCATCTTATACCCAGTACCCTGTTTATGGACAGCCATATCATAATGGCACCGTCAATCAATGCATCCTGATACAATTGGACCTCTACCGTGGGCAGAACAAGCGAGCACGTGGAAGCCGCGGAGGGCCGAGTTTGATGAACTAACATAAACTTCCAGCAAATGCCGGCTGGGTGTCGTGGGCTGAGGGCCGCCCCTTCAAGTCTGAGTCGTTATATAGATATTAAATCAGAGAAAAGGCGTGCGCTAGTACTAAACCAGCTAGAGCGTGCAGCTGTTTTCCTGCAATCCCACTGGCGACTTCTCAGTATATGCGCCAGGATTGAGACACGTGAATTCAAAGTTCTAGGCGCGTACTGTCACACCCTCATCACTGCCTAGGCAAAAGGGCCAGCTCAACACGAATAACAAACCTTGCCGCCGCCTTCTTATCTCTGTGGAACGACGAGCAAGTTTGTCTTGTCAGTTGCTAAGCGGCGAAGACAGTAAGGCATACCTAGCAACTGGCCCAGCCCTTGAAAAGAAACGTACAATCCGACAAGTCCGCCCAATGACGAGGTTTCCCGGACGTAATACGGCCCCTCTTAGTCCTCCGGACAGGCTCCATGTCAGCAAAAGGTGTTGACGACCCGTCGAGTTGCCGCAGTGGCTAGCGGCGGGTTTTGCTCGGCTTTGCAGAAAAAAAATTCTTTGCATTCATCTGAATCTCTTTGGAGCCGCATTGGTCTCCACCTTTTACCTAAAAGCTCTTCGCTTGTGCTTCTGAATGGAGGAAAGCTCCATCAGGAACCGCCGGGCGGATCTTTTAGCGTGGCTCAAACGTGCAATCCAAAGCTTCTTTTACGCTATCAAAACTTGATCAATACGCCCTCCGCAATATCCCCATGAAGACTGTCCGAAGAATGCCCAGTAAGAGGCCACGCAATTCACAAATGACGGGGCCATTTGACAGCAATGACACAAATCAATTAGATCTTATCAACTCAATAAATACGTTCCCCGTGTTTTGTAGGCCTGGACGGAAACCTGTTATCTATCGCCCATGGGGCGGCGAGATTATTCTGTGGAGGAGGAACGGCTTTCACCGGCCGAGCAACTGACGACAACCTCTCGTCAAGGATGAATCCAGTCTGTCTACGACCATGTGGACCCTGAATCCATCTGACTCGCGCCTTGGAACGATCGCTTAAAAGTGAGTAACGTCAGACGCGTCGTGCCTTTTTTGCCTCCTCATGCCCTTCGTTTCCCCGTTGGTTTCTTCTTCCCCTCCAAGTTTTTTTCGATCCTCTTCCCGGACCGTCCAACCTCGTCCACCAATCAATCTCAACTCAGCCGCGGTTGAAACGAATTTCCTCCCACCATGACGGACGGCATCTCCAACACGATCAGCTCTGGTCGCAACAAGGGCTCCAAGAACAAGGACGGCTCGGACGCCGAGATGAGCCAGGCCCCCAATCCCTGGCCAATGAACGACAACACCATGCTTGGCGAGACAAGCGATGAGATGAACGACGCTCGGCTGAAGCAGATTGCGGCCCAGGGCAGTGCTCACTTCCACCGCCTTGGCTGGAAACGCCTGGCGATTGTGACCATCGTTGAGGCGGTCGCTCTCGGTGCACTCAGCTTGCCTTCCGCCTACCACACACTCGGAATGTTCCCTGGTGTCTTCCTCACCATCACCATTGGAATGCTCTCCATTTTCACCAGTTATCTCGTTGGCCGCGTCAAGTTGGCCTATCCTCACGTTGCCAACTACGCTGAAGCCGGAAGACTTTTGTTTGGCCGTTACGGACGTGTCGGATACGAACTTTTTGGAGCTGCCCTTGTCCTCGAGCTTGTCATGGTTGTAGGATCGCACGCTCTTACCGGCAGTATTGCATTGGTCGATATAAATGGAGGCCATGTCTGCTCCATTGTATTCTCTGCGGTGTCGGCCATCATCCTCCTCATCCTCGCCATCCCGCCTTCGTTCACTGAAGTTGCTATCCTCGGTTACATCGACTTCGTTTCCATTGTGGCTGCTATTGGAATCACCGTCATCGCCACGGGAATCCAGGCCAACAAGGCCCCGGGAGGTCTTTCGGCTGTCGAATGGTCTGCTTGGCCCAAGGAGGGAGTCTCCTTTTCCGAGGCCTTTGTCGCTGTCAGCAACATTATCTTCGCCTTCAGTTTCGCCATCGGCCAGTTCTCTTTCATGGACGAGATGCATACACCTACCGATTACATGAAATCCATCTGGGCATCCGGCGGAATTCAGATTTGCATCTACACAATCACCGGCGCCCTGTGCTACGCGTTCATCGGTCCCTCAGTTCAATCTCCGGCTCTTCTCTCCGCCGGACCTCTTATTTCAAAGATTGCCTTTGGAGTTGCCATCCCTGTCATCTTTATCTCCGGTTCGATCAACTCGACTGTTGCCCTCCGATATATCCATGGCCGCATGTACAAGAACTCGCACCTGAAGTACATTAACACTCCCATGGGTTGGGCCAGCTGGATCGTCCTTGTGGTTGTCTTCACTCTCATCGCCTGGGTCATTGCTGAGGCTATTCCTATCTTCTCCGACTTGCTTTCACTGGCCTCGGCTCTGTTCGTTTCAGGTTTCTCATTCTACCTCCCTGCCATTATGTGGTTTGCACTCCTCTGCAAGGGTAAGTGGTTTGCCCGCGAGAACATCCTCATCAGTCTTGGAAGTATTTTGGCCTTCATTGTCGGTGCTGTGACTTTGGTTGCTGGTACTTACTCGACTATTGTTGACATTGTAAGTCACTGCTCAAGTTCCTGGCGTCAATCTGTTCATTCGCTTACAAATCATTTACAGATCGACGAGACAACCAAGGGTAGTGCTCACAAGCCATTTGCTTGCCGATCGTCTTAGATCAGAGCTTGTTGTACAAAATTAATAGTTTAAAGAGTCTATTTAGACTCGGTCATGAGATACCCACCACTGAATAATTACCCGCAGAAGAACGGGATTCAAGATTACTTTCTTATCTTTGTCGTCATACTGTGCACCATAGGACATGGTGCATGTGCTGCTACATGACAACAAAAATACCCCTCGGAGCTATGGCTATGCACTAAAATCTGGAGGGTTCCGAGATGTTCATACCGAGTTCCCATCAGCATCTACATGGGGCAACATGGGGTAGCGTTCATTGAAATGACCGATTGGAGATCCGGCTGAAGGGGCTGATGAAACCTGATTTGGGTGGAGCGGATACATTCCACTTTGAAATGAAGCTATAATCTGACAAGAAAGCACACAGTCCGCCTTCCCAAAATCTGAACCTTCGCCATAAAGAAAAGCACTAGGGTGCTCGTTTATAATCCTCCGAACCTAAGTAGTGATGGAGTCGTTGTAGGGGAACTGCTTATAGGAATGGGATCTCCACTTATTACCGAGGCTCCTTCAAGCGCCGACTCCAGCTACCCGACTTGGCCGGATAGCAACTCAGCCGCACTTCTAACTAGAGCCATTGTGGCACAAGACCGTCGAATTCAATTCGTCCTGTGCAACAAAAGTGAGCTCCTTTCCGCCAACATGTGATTGATGATGTTGGACCATACAAATTATAAGCTGCCGTACTATTAGAGTCTGATCACGTGTTGCGATCTGGTTATCCCCCATGCGGCGGTCGAATCTCAGCGAGACCAACCACTCGGTTCTCCACTACCCCAACGGCTTCTGAACATGGAGCCGCAGGCATGACCCACCTTAACATCCCTCCAAAACTCAACCTCGGTTGGCCGCGGCGCCCCGCTAAAACTTTGACGCGGCGCCGACGTGACCATCTTCAGGAGCCGAATTCGAACATCGTCAGATCCGACGAACGCTGCATGATTACTGATCTTCTTGACATTAAAATAAAAAGTGTAGCATCGTCCAAAGTTTGTGTGATCAATCCAGGTACATTCTGAACATTCAACGGCAGATATCACTAATCATGTCGGACTCGGCGATGGCCAACACGTTACAAGAGCAGGTCGCGGTTGACGACTTGGGCTCTGACCGTTTCGTCAGCCGTGTGAACCCAGCTCGCATGGGGAACGCGGCAAACATCGCCTACGGCGGTTGCACCATCAGCATTGGTATCCAGGCCGCATGCAGTACCGTATCGGCGACGTACCTCCTCTATTCGACCACGGGCAACTACCTGGGTCCGGCCTTGACGGACCGTAAGCTCAAATGTTCTGTTCGCAGAGTCCGCGACACAAGGACGTTTGCCACCAGGCTCGTCGAAATTAGCCAAGACCAGGATGATGGCACGCCAAGGATGTGTATGATCATGCTTGCCGACTTCCAAGTGAAAGAGGAGGCCTCGCTTTTTGTATACTCTGCACCGCCGTCTATGAACTATTCGCCACCTGAGCAGTGCCTTAACACGAGCGAAGGAGTGAAGGACTTGGTGCGAAGAGGAATTGTGACGGAAAAGATGGAAAAATTCTACATGGCTTCATTTGGCTTCAACGCCCGCTTTTTCGAGACCCGGGGCGCACCAGAGACCGTCGGCCCAAACAACCTCTACGGCATTGCCAAGACCGTAAAGACGCCTCAACACGATCTGGACATTACCTCGAAGACAACCGCCGACTGGTTCCGTTGCCGACACCCCCTTGCACGCCTCCAGGACCAGTTTTCTGGTCTCGGGTTCATCTTGGATGGAGCTCTATCCTTCATCCCCCTGACACACAGCAACAAGTTCTTTGATGATGCAGGCCCTTGCTCTTCGCTTGATTTTGCCTTGAGATTCTTCACAGGAGACATCGACATGAGTCAATGGTACATGAGAGAGATTAAGACCATTGCGGGCAATGACGGGCGGACCTACACTGAGGCTCGGCTCTGGGACCGAAAGGGGAACATGGTGGCAATCATGAACCAGCAGTCTATCATGAGACCTCCGAAGGCCTTGGTTCGAGCATCTCTTTGAGATTTTTTGAACATTGAGGCAAGGAATTTGCTAGGTTAAGCTAGGCTCCATTCGTTGTAGACTTTGATGCGTTCACTCTTCTTATCCCTGCAATGGCTGTTTGTGGAAGCTATTTCTATACACACCTGACGACAACAATACTTAGACAGACAGAATTCTTTATAAACCTTAGCGTGCTCATAGTAGGGCTTGAATCTTATTCACAGAACGTGATTGTTAAACATTAGTCCTCTTTGAGAAGATTTATGCCAACACACAACCTTGATCCAAGTAGCAGCGAACTCAAAGTTAAGAGCACCCAGAATGACCAACTCATGCTGATGTCGTGTGAATACAGCACAATCAACAATTCGGCAGCTCCCGATTCAATGATGGTATCAGTACGTGCGTCCTTGCCTACTCTCAGGGGTGCCTAGTCTTATCGAAAGAGCACTGGGATATCGAAGGAGCCGGCAAGGTTTTCATAAGAATTGAGTTGCACTTTGCTTACACTGAGAGGCATCCATTCCGCAAAGAACCTTCAATGCCAGGCTTGGCACATTTATCTTAGTCCAACGTCCTTGCTTTGCAGAACTTTCTGGAGTTGCAGGCTAGAATGGCTGGTGCTGCAGTGTCGCCCAACTCAAATGGCAAATGCTCTCATAAGCTGTTATGTTTTGAGTTCCGTAGAAACAAAAGATACCAGGACGCACTTTGTATACAACATATGCGTAGATGGAAGTAGAAGATACAGATCCATACCAGAGTGAAACAAGTCACCTAGAGACTCTGAGAACTAGGTTGCCGAGAGCTGGGTTTCTCGTCTGGCAGTTGCGGTCAAGAGTGAAGTTTCATACTGTGGTATAACATCCATCATCACTCCTGTAATCCGAACAGACGCCTGGGCATTTTCGAATTAAGTGATGTATTAGGAACTTGTCCTCTCCCCATCCCGGCTGGAAACTATGCCCGCATATGCTTTTTTTTATTCCGACAAGCCCTGCAAATTATACACTTTCCCACATGAATTCCATTGACTTGAACGCCGTTGCAAACACTCTCTGAAGCCTCGAGTAACTGGGCACTTCCCTTAAGACATTACACACTACATAACCATCCAAATGTCATTGAGATGAGGGGATGAAAAGAGGCAGAGAAACATATCTATGGGTATTCTGTTAAGCCATGAAGTTTCAAACATGGCCCAAGTGCATCTTAATTGGACGCGCCGCAGGTACCGAACCCGGTTTGGCATCCCGTACCGCAGTGGTCCGTTGTGGCGCCGCACCAGCCATACTGAGAGCAGCACGTCGCGCCGGGCTCCTGAATGCACGTCGTCCCTCCTTGGGTACTACCGCAACGGCCGTTGGTGCTCAAGGGCGGAGATACCGGCGTGCCGGAAGCTCCGGCCGCGGAGCTTGTGCCAGAAGGAGTGGCAACGGTCGCAGGGGTGGAAGACGACGCAGAGATGACAGTCGAAGTCGAGGCCTCGGCCGACGAGATCTGGCAGTCCCCATAGAGGGGCTGGCATGCCGCGCCGCAATGGTCGGCAGTGTTTCCGCACCAACCGGCGGCAGAGCAGCAGGTTGCGCCGGGCTCGTTGATGCAGGTGGTACTGCCGAAGTTGGGTCCGCAGCGACCGTCTGTGGAGGGGGTCAAACTACCGGTGGGAGTAGACCCACTGACTGTGGTGGTAGCGGTGCTGGAAGAGGTAGTGGTGCCGCTGGACGGCGGGGCGTCCCCTACGGAGCGGTACCAGTTCTCCGGGGGGTCATTGAGGCAGTCACCGACGGTGACGGAGCGAAAGCCGTTGCGGAAGAGGGACTCAAGCATGTAGTCAGTCAGGTTGTAGACGGTCTGATAGACAGGGTCATGCTCGATCTGGAGCCACTTGTTGGTCGCAGGAGACTTCCCCTCAACCTTGCTGTCCCAGATGTCCTTGGAGGTCTCTATCAGGCTGGCGCTGTCGTGCAGGTAGCCCTCGGTGTCAAGGTTGAAATATGTGATGTGGTAGCCAAGGTCGTTCAGGTAGCCTTCACAGGTGGCGTCGCAGGCTGAGTAAGGGGGCCTGAGGCAGGTTAGATTGGGGTTGATGTCCTATAGTAAGCGTGCCAACATACCTCATGTAAGTTGGGAAATAACCCAGAAGGTCGGCGAATGCAATCTCGTTGTAGATCATCTGGTTGTGAAACTTCTCTGCGCTCACGGTTGTGAGTCGCTGGTGGGACCAAGTGTGACTGGCAATCTGGTGGCCCTCGGCAATCATGCGCTGTGGCAAGGTTAGTTAATGTTCAGGGTCTGGTAAAAGCAAACCAACCTTGATGAGGGCAGGCCATGGGGTGGTTGGGTCATTAATCTTGCCCTTGCCAAGGTTGTTACCCGTAATGAAGAATGTGGCCTTGGCATTGTACACCTGCTTGCATGTCAGCGCGGCCCATCAACTCGGAATTGTTGATAGCATACCTTGAGCTTGTTCAAGAGATCTTCGGTGTAAATGTAGGGGCCATCGTCGAACGTGAGGGCGATGTCGCCGTATTCCTCACAGTGATAGATGGCCTGGCCATACGGGACCGTTCCGATCTTGGGACGAGCGACATTCTCCGTATCCGGTCCGTCGGGGCGGATGTTGGCATCGCATGCCGGGCCGTACTCGATCATGCAAGACGGCGCGGAGCAGTAAAGGTACCCTTGGCCGCACCATCTGCCACACCGTTAGTATCCTCAGGTGTTGGAGCATATAAACCAAAAGCAACAACATACCCCGCGCTGGAACAGCAGTCTCCGGCATCACAGACCTGGTTGTCAAAGTCGGGACCGCAACGTCCATTGGATTGACGCTTCTCCAATTCAGAAGCCTCACGAACGGGCTCAGTGTGGGCTGCGCGGCGCTGAACCTGGCGACGGGCTGAGGTGAAGCCCTGCATGGCCTGCCTTCCCGCCATAATGTTGGGGAGCGGTAGCCCATCGCCGCCATGAGTGCCGTGCGCGGCAGCTAGACCGTAGCTGGCGGCGAGAGCGAGAGTGGTGAAAAGCATTGCGATAGATGTGCAGCAAAGGAACCGATGTATGCACGAGGGGAGGGTGTATTGTTTCTAACGAATGCTTGTCCCGAGGTTTGGAGCAAAAAGCGCTTAGCGAGTGGAATATGGCAGGGCAAAGTTCAATGAAGAAGAAGCCGAGCCAATTGGTACAACGGAAACGAAAGCAGCAGAGAGCAAAGGAGACAAGCACGGCTCTTGACAACCTACTTACACTGAGAGTCGGAAGAATAACAAAGTGGGCTACAAAGCTCGGGGCCGGGCAATGTGTGTTATATAAAACAGAGAGGTATCTCATCGGATAAGTAGGATGGGCCAATTACAGCAATACGCAGCCTGGCTGTGGGCTGAAATTGCGACCCTGGCCATGCGTGAGCGATCGGCTGCTGCACGCTGGGCAGTCCTGTAGTTGCCCCTCCTCCAGCCCGGAGAGGGGGACTACTGCGAAGTAACTAGGGCATATCAGCTCAAGTATAGAACCAAAGAGACATATTGGCCAGGTGATGTTATGGGCCAGGTGTTTGTAGCGGACAGGTGTGTAGAGCTGTCTGGTCAGAAGCAAGGGTGCCTTGATGACGGCGGCCCTCCTTTGGTCGGGCCCCTTCTGTAGGTACCTAGTTACCTTAGTCTCCTGTTTTCGTGTACGTCCAATACGAGCTCGAGAGGGCTACAATGTGCAAGTTGCGAAGGGAAAAGCAACGAGGGTGCGACGCCAGAAGGAGACATGGGGCAGTCTCGCGCGATGGTTGAACCGGGTCCCGAACGGCGGACACTTGATCCCGACGGCCGGGATGGTTCCTCCATCAATGCTATAGAAGCCATTCAGAGCGCCACTCGGCGTGTGAAATCTCTTTCAGGCGCATTGACAACTTCAAGCATGTCTAACAAGTGGCCCACAGCGGCTTACTGCCTTGGCGACACGAGAGTCCACGAGTCTGTACAGGTGTGCCGAGGAACAGCGGTGCTGACATTATTGACTGCGTACATGATTCTATTGTGTGCCTTGCTGAGAAAGTGGTGTACGAAGGAGCTCGCTCGAGGCAAAAGACGATGCCGAGCGTAAGCCAAGATGGATTCCTCGCCCGGGCAATGGTAAGACGTTGCAGGGCTATCGAAGAGTATGAAGCATGAACTGTCGAAAAGAAAGAATTGGCAATGTGAGAAAACGAGATGGAGAGACTTTCTCCCCCGTACTGCATTGCGTGCCTTGCTTTTGCATAGCCTTGCAGATCGGTCGAGCACCAACGTCGTGGCTGACAATGGCATGATCAATTTGAATACTTTTTTTTTACTCCTTTGCTGGGTCTGTGGCCCTGTCACCCCAACAGTTGACCAACTACAGCGCTTGGAATCGTTGGTTCAGTGCTGAAGACGGAGCGCGCCCCTGTCATAACCACCGGGTTTCCAGCTTTGGTGGTCCTTTTCATGTAGGTGAGATAGAAGCATGGGAAGTGAGTAATGAGATGCATTCACGGTTGCTGCAGACGGTTAGCATCAGTGAAGGTCGAAAGACTGGGTTGTCGTGCCAGAGGCGTGAAAATAGGGACAGGGCAGGACGCAAGAGTGAGGAAATGTATGAGTGGATAAGATGGGAGTGTGGATGAGTGATAGAATGCAGTGAGCTGGGGCGGAGGGATTGCGGAGCAAGACCGAGAGCTGCGTCCACTCCACTCAAGAGTCTCGTATCGGCTTATGAGAAAACGAATAAGTTGAAAAAATTCAATGCAATAATCGATGAGACACCCCAGCGCCCCTCTATGAACATCAAACTCAATAATTGTTACGCGGGGTGAGTCGAGGTTTACCGAAGGTAAGCAGAGGTAAGCTAAGCAACTAAGCACGCAAGCACTGGCTCCAGCTTCTGCCACGTCCCACGACCGCCCTTAACCTGCCGGAATATTGGCTTGGCAGCCCTTCAGCGTGCGTCCAGGTGCCGTAAAATGGTGTCAATTCTTACTTGTGAGCACAGCGTAGCATCTGCTTTCCGCAGTAAGCCCAGCCTTAGAGAGCCTGGGATGAGGGGATGGGTGCTCCGGTACTGCTACGCTCTGCGGTAGCAGTGGCATTCTTCCAGAGCACTGCCTCTGCCGGGCAATAGCCGATGAGAGCAAACCAGGGGCCTGGTGAGGCAAGCTTGTGAGTTCCTTCGTCACTCTCGTCAAAGCTCCTGTATCATCTTGACTGACCGTTTCCTGGAAGTCATCATCGCTGTCATGGTCTCGACCGTGACCGTAGCCTCCTGTGTGAGTACGCGCGCCGGGCCTGGCATGGGTTAAGCCTCCATTGATACGAAACCTACGGTGGGAATGACGAGTTAACGATCAATGGCAGTTCGTCATGGCTGGCCGGCATGCTCTGGATTCCATGTCTCCTCCCTCCCTCAATACATCGAATGGTTAATCATGTCGGCAAAGGGGCCGATGCCGTGTTGACAGCAACGTCGACCGCTTTTGCAAGTGCCTTTTAGGCAGTTGGCTGCTCCATTTTCGTGCAGACACGGGTTTGCCAAGGCTTTTGAGACAACCAACCACGTTCCCGTTACACCAGGTCGAAGCCTTCATGGTTGGCCTTCCTACGCATCCGTCGGGCACAGCAGCATGCACAGAGCCAGCGATTCTTGGCCAGGTATTTCGTCAGGTTTCTTTGCCTCTCGGGTCACAAACTCATTGTGATCCTACCTCGGGCTCGGTACCCGTCTGATGGCTTTGGCCTCTCTCGAATTTCACTTTGCTGGTTGCTGCAACACGCAAATCTGGTTCACTCCCACACCACCACGACACGCGGCATATGCTGCATCACGGCACAGCTGAATCTCTGTGCAGCTCGCCGTATCCGGTCATCGTAGCACAGAAGGGTGCGTATCCTGGCGTGAAAAGTTTTTTCCCATGGAAGAAAATATTTCTCCCTCAGCTCCACCGCCCGGCAGTTCCTTGTTCGCCTGGGGACAGGTGCCTAGAAGCTGAGATGGTGTGATGACTATGACGATGCTGGCAGGGGACGGGGCCCAAGTAGCAGCCATCGAGACCTTGTGAAAGTGCTCACTGTCTCCCTTACCGTAATTCCCAAGGCATTAAACAGCCGTCACAGTCGTAATAGGTACCCCCAACCTCTTACCAAGACACGCCCATGCTTGTTCGAGGAACGAGTAAGACATCGTACCAGCGATTGACGGTGGCTGGAATACGACGAAAGGGTTAGATGAGATGAGGGGTAAAACGGGCGAGTCTCAGGGTATCCAGCTGGGGCGTGGGGCATGATGTGTCTTGCTTGACTGTTTACCAGGCTCTAGAAGGAGAGTGTCTGGGAAAATCGCAATTTTAACCTCAGCGGTTGAGTGGGAAAATCTCGACAGATCTCTCCAAGGATTGATGCCATGGGGCGAGAGAGCTACATGCACCCGTTCATGGCGCGCAGCTGCGTGCGGCAGATAAAAGAGACGGTGAAGGATGGCATACTACTTAACTGCAGAGAAGAGTAGATCCTGTCACTGATACGGCGCGCGAAACGCAACCTGTGTCCAAACCAAGGGAAGGGTGGGCATTGCGTGCCCAGGCACGCACGTCCTACGTGTGCATGGTGTGCTGGTTCATTCAGGGCATCGTGTGGATGGCCCACGTGTAATGTGTTTAGTTGGACGTTTGTACTCGCGTTTGGCTCTTGCTTGTCTCTACTCTTCCAGACCTCCACCGAAGCCTGCCCTGTACTCTGCTTATATGGGGTCTTTTTGTGGGTGTTGCCGCGAGAGATCGACATTTTGGGTGTCTTTTGCGGGAGACGGGGAGGGGAGATGGGCCTCGGTCCGGAACGCTTCCCCAGGTGGACCTCCAGGAACCCAATGTACATAGTATCTTACCCAAGGCTGAAAATACGCTGTTCTATTTCTCTGCCCCACTGTGATCGGTGTGATTAACTGTGTTGGATCGGGGCGGTTATCTAAGACAGTTGCATCGTTGCGTGGCCGGTGGTTACGATCCACAGCCTCTTTTGTCGACTCAGATCCACGACCTTCTCCAGGTGAGTAAAAACCGTTGCTGACTCAGGGCCTAGTGTGTTTGAGAGTTCCTGCATGCGAAAGGGAGAAGAAAAGTGCGAGACCGAAAATGGACACCAGCTCCGGCATCGCCCCGAAGCCCATCAACTAATCTAGCGCCGACCATGCGGCGCGGCATACTCACTGAGGCCGCGCAACACTACCAGTGTTCGGGTACCGGTTCTGGCACCGGTGCACCTGCCAAGTCAACGATGTGGAAATGAGGTTATTCGCAATGGGAATACGGTCTACCTTACTCACTCACTCTCGCATCTACTCCCAGAATCGCTGTGCCTGCCGCAGCACTCAGTCAGAACCTTGAGTTAGGGTAGCTCAGATCTCTCAACGGCGCTCCACCGCTGCGCCCAACTTGCTTAGCACCCTGAACGGCTCAGAGGATAGGCGACTTGGCACCGGTATTGCTTTGCCCAAATCACGGACATCGTGAAGCGCACAACGGCTGAGATGCACCAAGGGGGCGTACAGGAGCTAATAGAGGCAATTTCCCCGGCTAGCGTTCTGTTAAGGGTTCTCTATGCCCATAATCTTCAGATGAACCATGATTAGATTTTAGGCTAAAACAGCTCGTCTCAAAGTGATGGTCTGAGGAAGAGCGGCATGGGCGGGAAAACGTTGCCGTCCACGTAATCACGGAATGCTTTGGCTTCATTTTCGCATCGCGAAGTGGGTAAATGTGAAAATTGCGACGGGAAGACAGGAGGATGGTCGCTTCATGTGACGCGGCGCTGTAGAAAGCGATGTGCTGACTTCAGCTGCCATCTAGCAACGCCACTATTTCCGTTTAGGGCATCGCTTGCACGGCTTGCCGCGTTTGCCGTCCGCCGATTGCCTCAAGCTGATGGGATGGCAGCCACACGTCGCGCCTCCGCCGTCCTTGATGCATGAGAGGCTCACAACGACCCATACGCTAAGGTTCTCGTCGAGTTAGATAGAGTCTGCCATGAGT